ACTCTCCCTCTCCGCTCCCCTGGCAACCGCTGCCTTCCGTCGCCTAGCCAAGAGTCGCCAATCTCCTCCCTTCCCTCCGCCATATCCACCCAAGCTCTTATTGAAATCGGGCCCAATTTCGGCGATTAATGCTGGCTGGCCGGCGGCCACAGTAGGTGAATGTCCGCTCGAATCGACGGCCATCTCATTTCGAAATTCCTGCCGTCTATCGGGCGTCGATATCGCTTTTCTTGCGGCCCGGCGCGGGCAACCCCGCCCACAGGCTGTCTGTGTTTCGTAGGTAAGGGCGGGTCGGGACGGGGAGGAGCGGGAGGCGACGGGGAAGGGCGACCCGAGCGGCTGGGCCGGAACGGAATGTGCCGGTCACGGCGGGTTGGGAAAGGGCAGCCGGGACGGGGTCCGCTGAGGTTCACCGTCCAGTTTGCACTACCGTGCTAAGTGGACTGCAATTTGCATACAGTGCTTTGTTTGCACTGTTACGCCAGACACGAATCAGTGCTGCATTTGACTTACAAAAGCATAAACACCGGTGGCCTTTATTGCATTGCAGACCACATTGGATTGTGTTATCAAATCATTGAACGCGGCGCCCACCAATAAAAGTCAGGTGTTCTGATAACGAACGTCACATCAGGCTTACCTCAATGACCTCCAGTGGCAGGTCCCTTGCAAATAGAAGCACAGTCGCGTCTAACAAATTGAATAATGGATGGCTGCCCCACGTCTGGCAGGCGTCTGGTGCACTTGCTATCTTTGTTGCTCAATATTGATCAACCTTTGTCCCAGGCAGTCGCTGTGTTTGCCACAGCGGGCCTGGTGCATATTCTGTAGTGCTGTTTTTTCTATGGAGTGACTGGTGACTTGAAGCGCCCGCCTCCTGCATTATACCAACGCCTTGCAGCAGACGGGTGCTCGCATTTGTGGGCGCTACATAAGCATTAAGCAAAAGCAGTAGCACAGATAACAGTAGTACTACTGTTATCTGTGGCAGTAGATATGTTTGACGGCGATCAGAGCATTTATAATCGACTCTATCAGCCCCTTCAGCGAACTGCTTTCGACTAACCCGCTCTTTTAGTGCGGTGCTGCTTGCGAAAGGTGTCACAGCAGAACCTAGTTAAAGCATGAGCGATTTACATCCCCATCTTTCGATGATGTCACGATACGGAAATTCGATGTGCCGCATGTATCAAGGAGAAGAGGTGCAATGTTGGAGTAGATTTTGCATCTCGCGTAAATCATCATGTGACCGCCCATACCCCATATGTCATACATTTGACGGTTGTGTTCCTTATCCAGGTTGTGGTAAGAGCAGCATTCGCTGAAGCCCTGGTCGTCAGTAGAAGCACGATAACGGCGGTAATCCACTGGAGAGATTGCAAAGTGACTGAAAAGTGCACCCTCGGAAACATGCTGATGTGGCCAGCAGCTTCCACAAATACCGCAGGAGTCACCATGGCTACTATTGAAGGATTCTACATCACTATGATAACGTGCTTCTCGTTCACTATCCAGTGCCAACTATATCTGTGATGGCTACCATCGTGCGACAGGCAGGTCATTGTCTCACCTGACGATGTCTTCCTGTTCCCCGAACACAAAGACAGGTACATACGGGCGGCTTACGGCAGTCTCCGCCCCCGTCTCTGGTTTCGGCGCCATTAGTTATCACGGACCCCGCTAATGATATGACGTCACTAATGATATGACACTGGTAGCATGGCGACGGTGTCGAGGGAGGGTCGAATGTCCTCAGATGTGCAGGCAAAATGAAAAATGAATAAAATGTGGGAAGATGACAACGCATTAATTAATGGTTTAGTCAAATAAACAAAACCCAGCTTTAGTTCGGGTAGATGTCTGATAATGTTTCGCTAACCGAAAAATGGTGATAATTCTCTATGTCGTGCTATAAATTATGTTCCACTGTGGGATTCAAGCTCCCCGTCCTTTATGCTACATATTTCCTTGGGATAAACATCTTTTCGTGGGAGTGGCGTTAAAAATGGTGGTGATTTTAGCTATTTGCTGATTCATGAGAACGCATATTCAGGTTTGCCCCGAAACGTCATTTATTTGCCACTTAACGTATAAATTAGTGGCGAAATAAATGAAAAGTGTCCATCAAAAGTGAAAGCCACCTTACTTTATATAGGTATAGGGAGCTAGAACTTGGCACAAGTATCAGTTCTCTCGAGTCGATTTTTAGTCACTCGAGCCTGTGCCTCATCACTCGTCACCTCCCGGCCACCATCGTGCCTTCGGTCAGTTCGCCGCCTGACCCTGACCCGGGCGGTCACGCGCGGGGTCGCTCCGCGGTGTGCTGGTCGGCCCACCTGACCTCTGCCCGGCGGGCGGCTGTGGTGTGCCCCAAAACAGTCACTCCGTCGTGACACCAGTGAGATTGCTTGCGAAAGCCGTTCGCGTGCATCAGTGGCTGGGACATAGTGCATCGACTGCAAGCCATGTCTAGTCGCCAGAAGCCCGGTGCGCCTGCCGATGGGAAGGGACAGCGGGGGCATTCCACGTCAAATCAAACACTGAAATCCGTCATCCCCTTCGATTTTTCTGAAAATTTGTAAGCAGACTGGGCATGGTTCAAAACTGAGTTACGTATAATATTTTCGAAATTTGATAACGTATCGCTGAGATATAGGTCATCGAATATAGCGAAAAATGCCACACATCCATTTTTTAAATGGCTATAACTCTGGTTCCTTTCCTGGTATCAAAATGATACTAACAGGGTCTTATAGGCGATTGATAAGGCTTTGATTTTTAATTATAAAATTAAATTGAAGTGACCTTGAAATGCATTTGACCTTCAATTAAAACAGAAAAATCTAAATAGCAAAAAACACGTCACCTTCGATTTGGGTAATTTTTACGTATTATGTCCGTCACAATGTTCCTAACCATCTGTGAAATAATTGGAGTGGGCCATTCATAACTTTCGCGGCAAACGCCGTTTTCATGCATCAACATCACGCAACCGCGCGTGACCTTGAAAGACAGAGTCAAGACATGCTTGCTTGAGTACGCTTTATGAAATGAATGATTGCTGATTAGTGATATCCCAAACTCTGCGAGAATGGAAATGCATAGTCATCGTAGTCAAGCATTCACGTTCCATAGTAAAAGTGTCTCAGGCAAACGGTATTTTGCGGTGAATTTTGAGCCGTGTGGAAATGCATCATGAAGTAAATTCAACGCAAACATTATCACGCAACGATATCTTCACGTCTTTTGATCTTCACTATACGAAAGAAGATACATTTTTTAGTATGTATGGGGAATTTCTAGTTAATCCAATAATAAATAGGTATGGCAGTTAGAGGCCTGCTAAGAGTAACATGTCGCCGGCTGAGGCGGGCTCGGCCGATGCGGGAAACGCAGCAATCACAATTTTGTGTTTACACGTTCATATTTCAATTGTTTACCAACCGATTTCCAAAATTCTTTCACCATAAGATTGCCTGTACATTTTTTAGTCTTCTCACAAAATTTGACGCGAATCGAACGTAATCAGCGGTAGGGAGCGCGATGTAAAGACGGAATCGTTCCGTTCCGTCCCGGCACAGTCTACAATTCAGGCGGCGCGTAGCGGTCGGCGCCGGCTGCCGAGTCGCCGCGTCGCTGCGGCGACAGGATGTTCACTTTACACCGCTATTACTAGAACAGTTGTGAACCGATTTTCTTATTGCTTGCACGATGAGATGTCCAATTCAATTCTTGACAGGTAGCCATAATTAATTTCGCATTAATCTTATGAGATATTGGCGAAAAACAGGAGGGGTGGGCGAAATTCGCTCTTCCCCCTCCACTGCGCGTGCTAACATACGTTTGCATATGTGCAATTTTCTTCAAAACTTATGAATGGCCCACTCTAATTTTTTCACAGGTTGTTAAGAATATGGTAGGCAATAAAATATATGAAAATGAGCCAAATCGAAGGTGACGTGTTTTTTGCTATTTCAATAAATGTGCTTAAGAACAGAGTTAAGCAAATTTCAAGGTCATATATTTAAGTAGGTGCAATTCTAAACAAATGCTTAAGAAATTACCTAAACAGTAAGGTTTATTTCATTCAAATCAAACAAGTACAACCAAAGTTATGGTCGTTCAAAAATACAAAGATGCAACATTTTGTAAAAATTTGATGCCCTATATTTAGAAGACCTGTGGTCAGAATGTGCAAAAAAACATCAATGTAATGTCCGGGGCCACACAGGAACTCGCTCACAAATTTATAATGAAATCGCTGATGGTAAGGTGCAAAACAGCCGATTTTTGTTCGATTTGACGTGGAATGCCCCAGCGGCCACGCAGCCGGTTACCGCCCCACGCCTCTGGCGGTCGGCCGGCCGCCGGCCCGGCTCGGAGCTCGCCGGCCGACCCGACGCCCACTGGGCCCGGCGGCGCCCCCAATCGCAGTGGCGCACTCAGCGGCAGCCGTGGGCAGGTGGACGTCCGGTCCATGGTCAACCGCCTAAATCGTCAGCGGAGCCCAGCCAAACGACAACGAGCGGTCAGTGCCGGTACCAGCTCGGACACATCCGCAGATGATGGAGACTGCAGTACCGACCAGCAGCTGGGTCCAATTCAGCAGTTCTTGCAGCGCGCGCTAGACAAACAGACGGCAGAGCTGACCGAGCGCTTCGAGAACACTGTGGCCGGTCTCAGGGAGGAGATCACCGGGCTCTGTCAGCGAGTCGTCGAGCTGGAGAGCCACGTCAACGACCAGGGCAACGTCATTCAGCAGTTGCACGAAGCCGTCGACTCCCGGGACAGCAGGATCCACTTTATGGAGGATGAACTGGAAGAGCTTCGACGCGAGGGGAACACTCCGTATTTAGTGCTGGACGGCCCTGGCCTCCCTGGCCTACCCCCGGAGCTAGAGGAGGAGCCCTGGAAGGAGGATGTCGCGGCTACCACCAGAGCCGTACTACAGCAGCACGTGCCATCGGTGACAGTTCATGAGGAGGACATCGTGCAATGCTACCGGACGGCGCGAGGCAAGAAAATCGTGTGCCGGTTCGCTAGATGGGGACCCGGTAGCACCCGAGACGCTATCTACGACGCTCGCACTCATCTGCAGAGAGACGGGAATGGAGCCCGACGACAGCCACAAGATCAGATCTACATCAACGAGATGCTGACCACGGGAGCACACAATGCGTTCATGAAGCTGCGTGCCGCGCGTAAGAGAGGTGAAATAAGCAGTGTGCATACCAGGCATGGCCTCATTTACGTGCGCATGATCCCACATGGTCAAAAAATATGCGTGCGGAACCGCATTCAATGCGAACGAGTGCTGCGCGGCGAGTATTGAATAGTGAGTACCGCCGACCGGCGCCGGGAGTGCTGGCGCCGCCCGTGCGCCGGCCTCCCTGCCCGTGGGGTTGGCCGAGGTCACACAGTGCTGAGTCGACGGCCGAGCGGCCGGGGCGGGTGTGCTGGGGGGTGACGTCACGCCGGGATTGCTGGGACGGGACGGTGAGACTCCGGACAGCGCAGTCTGAGGAGGTGAGCATGGGTGGGGAGGGGATCGACGGCTGCCTTTTAGAGGAAGGTCAATATGCGGTGTGTCATTTGGACTTCCCTTATGGCTGGGATGTGTTTGATAGTCCATATAGCTGGTCGCTTTCGTTTATCTCTAGATGCCAGAGTTAAACATTGTTACATTTAACACCAGAGGGTTGAGGTCAATGTCAAAAAGAAGGTCTCTGTTTAGGTTTTTCCATCGGCACTATCCGAATCATATAATAGTGCTACAAGAGTCACACAGCAGTGTGCATGATTACACTTACTGGCAAGCAGAATGGGGTAGCCCCATATATTTGTCGCACGGGCCCAGTACCCACGATGGCGGTGTGGCGGTGTTATTACCCAGATCCCTAACCTTTGATGTCACCGTGTTGCACAACGATAATGATGGCCGGCTTCTCGTCCTTGGTTTTAATCACGAGATTCTTAAATTTGCGCTGCTCGCAGTATATGCACCCACACAGGGACATAGTCAGCAGCAACTCACTTTTTTAAGTAAGATGAAACAAAGGTTAGACGTCATTTACGAGGAAGGTTACACAGAAATTTGTATGGCTGGGGATTTCAATGTCCAGCTTTCTCCCCTAGACATACAAGTAGGTCGATTTAGAAATAAAAGACCGGCGCAAACACTTAGAAGCATGTTAGAGGACTGCAGTCTGGTCGATGTTTGGCGGGAGCGGCATGCAAATACTCGACGGTATACATGGCGAAGATACAATCCGGTGCAAGGATCCCGTATAGACTATATCTTTGTATCTCAGAGCATGTCGGCTAATAGTGTAATTAGAAGGGCTGAGATCAAACCGTGTATTTACAGTGATCACAGTCTTGTTAATCTAGAAATGAGCGTGCACACGAATGATAGAGGTAGGGGCCTGTTCCGCTTCGATAACCGCCTGTTAGAAGACCTACAGTTCGTTCACGAGGCGAGGCAGGAGATTATGAAGGCTAATGGCGGCCAGGGACTCTATGAGGGAATTGTTGATCTGGGATTAAAAATAGAAATGTTACTAAGTGAGATCAGGGTGCGTAGTATGAAAATTAGTAAACATAAGGCTCAAGAAAGACGAAAAGAATATAATGCACTCATTGGCGACTTGGATAAGCTTCAACAAGAGATAGCGGAAAACCCATCAGCTGAGCGAGTAGATAGGTGCAGAGCGTTACAAGAAACCTTGGACCGAGCGGAAGAAGAAAAAGGTAAGATTGCCATGATACGATCGGGGGCTAGGTGGTTAGAAGAAGGGGAGAGGCCAACAAAATACTTTTTGAGGCTATGCGAACGTAGAAACAAAGAGAAAAGTATACATGTTTTGCAGCGAACTGACGGGGAAATTATCACAGGAAATAGAGAAATTCTTAATTATTGCAAGGATTATTTCGAAGGCTTGTATGCCACTCAAGCTTTGGCTGACGGGCCGCCCGATGTGGCCCGTTTTCTGATACCCGCAGATTTTCCCAGACTGAGCCAGGCAGATAGAAGAAAATGTGATGGCGACATAAGTAAACAGGAATGTGAAATAGCATTAAAAGGGATGATGAATAATAAAGCCCCGTCCGTCTCCGGATTCTCTAAGGAATTTTTCCTACACTTTTGGCAAGAAATGGGTGATCTCGTTGTTTTATACATCAACCAGGCTAGGGAAGAGGGTACTTTTTTCATCACCCAGCGTAGGGGAGTAATAACTCTAATCCCAAAGAAAGGCGACCCCAAGCTTATCCAGAATAAACGACCAATTTGTTTACTCGATATCATCTACAAGATAGTGGCGAAGGTTCTAGCAAATCGCACGATGTCGGTCATTCGCGACATCGTGTCGCCGGATCAGACAGGGTCAATACGCGGTAGGTATATTGGGACGAACCTCCGAACCATCGCTGATGTGATTCATTACACTAACGCGGACAAGCTAGAAGGAATAATTATGGCCCTCGATTTCCGCAATGCTTTCAATAGTGTTGAGCACGCGTTTCTGTATGAAGTTTTAAAACTGTTTAACTTCGGCGAAAATTTCATTCAATGGGTTAAACTTTTGCACAACAGAAACGAGTTAGCCGTCATCAACAACGGGTTCACCTCACCATGGTTCTCAGCAGGTAGGGGACTACAGCAGGGATGTCCAATGAGTGGGCTACTCTTCGCACTCGTGCTAGAAACTCTAGCCATTAAGATCCGTAGCGCGAACGAGGTCCGAGGTATTAATGTATCGGGCGAGATTTTCAAGTCAACTCAATACTGCGACGATATGACCTTATTTGTACAGGACCACGTATCTGCCGTTAAAGCCATTGCCTTGGTTCGGGAATTCGGCAATTTGTCTGGGCTAGAATTAAACATGAGGAAGTGTGAGTTTATGTGGGTTGGCTCAAAGAAAGACTGCGAGCAAACAATCTGTGGATGCTCACCAGTTAAAAAAACGAAAATTCTCGGTGTATGGTTTAGCGCTACCCAGAATTGTGCACCTATCAATTTTGAAGCCATCGACTCACGGGTTAAAGGCACGCTCCAAGACTGGTCACAAAGAGCACTCACCCTAAAAGGGAAAATAACGGTTGCAAAAGCCCTAGTAGTTTCTCAACTCGTGTATCACATGGTTGTCACAAGAATGGAAGAAAAGCATTTGGCCATGATACAGAGCCACATCATGAACTTTCTGTGGCGAGGACGGCCGCCCAAGGTGGCCAAATCGACGATCATCATGCCCGTCGAAAAGGGGGGATTAAATGCACCGGACCTGTTATTAACCAATAAGGCGTGCAGAATATCTTGGCTTGGTAGGATGGCAAGGCATAAGGGAGCAACGTTTGTGAAAGCATTGCAAAATAGGCTAGGGTTTAGGCTCGGCAATGTTTTAAACACAGACTTTGAAGAACGCTGGCTAATTAACAGACAGGTCCCGGATTTTTATAAAGAAATGCTACTCTGGTTTCGGAGCATACACCCAGCGAAAACTCCTGAATGCGGTAAAGCAGTTAGGCAACAGCTGTTATGGCAAAATAAGGCACTCAAAGTCAATAATAAGACTTTATTCAACAAGCAACTAGTTAGAGCGGGAATTTGTCTAATAGAAGACATCGTGGACGAGATGGGCGTCATCATAAGCTGGGAATCGTTTTTACTTCGACACGGCATCCGCATCAACCCAATAACATATATGGGATGGTGTCGAGCCATCCCGGCTAGTTGGAAACGATTAATGCGCGGCAGCTGCCAACTGTCACCCGAAGATCGAGACTCAATGCCGTCACTCTCGCTACGCGGTAAAGACATTCCGCTAAGCCTATTAAAAACTCGTGCCTTTTACGAAATCATGCGCGCAGAACGGTTACCGACAGCACAAACCAGATGGGCAGCTGAAGGTACAGATTTTGGCATGGACTGGGGAAAGGTATACGCATTGCCGTTCCAAGCTACAGCGTCGACCAGGCTGCAGAGTTTGCAATATAGAATAACGCACCGTTACTTTCCAACTAGAAGATTTTTGTTTATTCGTGGTGTAACCGAGGATCCATTTTGTGATCATTGCGGTGAAGTCGAAACATTGTCCCACCTATTCTACACCTGCTCGGCAGTCCAACCATTTTGGAGCGCTTTATTGGAAGTAGTTAACCGTAAAGTAGGGAACGAAATTTTCACCGAGAGAGACATCCTGTTCGGTGGAACGAGATTCAGGGCAGTCGTGAATTTAATATTGCTTGTCGCGAAACAGTTCATAGTATACTGCCGCCATGGAGAATGTGCACCCAATCTACGGGCGTTCCGGCCATCATTAATTAAGTCTTTTCATATGGAGAAGGTTATTGCCATTAAAATTGGAAAACTGGATGAATTCAGAGAAAGGTGGGCGCCGTTTCTACAAGACGATGCCTTATGTTTGTAGTGTGTTACTGTCCGTGATTCGTGTGCGCTGAATTCCGTGCCTGTAATAATCGTGTATAAAAGAATAGAATAAAATAAAGGAAAAAAAAATCGTGCCTTCGGTCCTGGCATGGAGACATTCCATAGCGCTAACGAACCGCCTACGGAGAACACAGCGCTGGAAGCAGCTGTTCCACCTCGCTGCTGTCCAACTGCCGATTTAGCTTCTCATGACGTCAGATTTCTCCGAACTGGGGGGAGTCTCCTCCAAACGGCAGGAGCAGCGACTGTAGATAATTGTCGTCGCAATGCAGGCGTAGGCGGCTAATTGTTCAGAGAATGTGAACAGGCGGCAGGGCGGGGGTCGAGGACGAGTGGGAAGAGAAGGGCAACGATGAATCACATGACGGTGGTAAATACACGTTGGCGCGCGAGAGACTCCCATGGTGTCTCTCAGACTCCTGACCTGCGGCAGGCACCAGATCCGACCTTCAGGTCGTTGAGGTCGTCGAGGTCACCGAGGTCAGCTGCGCAGGCGACACCCGGAAACGCAGCTCGACACTAGCGCCCACCGGTTGTTGTTCCAGCGTAGGCGAACGAGGACGGGTGATGTTTGAAATTCCGGGCCTTCCCACACAAAGCTCTTTCACGCGGCGAGACAGGGCTCCGCGCATTAACTCCCAGACCTTTGATATACGGAAATCATGCCATCTTCTAAGTCATCATGTCTGCTAACTTTGACTCTGACGACACCTTGAAGTGTACCGCCTCGACAGCTCGTATCCCCGGCCAGTCTGATGCTATTTAAAGGCTGGCTGTAATGAGCTGTTTCGGAGGACGGCGTCTGCTCGCGGCTGTAGTGACTGGTGCCTCGCGTCTTCGTGTGTGGTGAGAGGTGGTTACGGTCAGATTACGAGAGAGAGGCACGCGATGTTGGGAGACAACTCAATTGACCGACAAGAGAGGTTAGTCACCTGCGTGTGGTGCAGAACCGAGCCGCCAACAGCTTCTGTGAGTTACGATCGGTGACAACACGTAATCTACCTCGTCGCCATCTCTTTGATCTCTCAGACGACGACATTTTTACAGTGACGTTCGAAATGTAAACGCATTGAAATTCCAGTCCATGACTTGGGTTTATTACTCGACAGTCACTTGGTGCACCCGGAGGTTGATTCATCAGCAGAGTGGTTTAATTAAACTTTATCTTTGTGAGGCCGACTCAATAGCAATTTGGCTCAACTCTGACTTGTTGACTATGACTAAAACATTCCCCGGTGAATCATCGCATCTTCATGACCGCAAGGCTGTCATCGGCTACTGTCCCTTCGTTCTGCGGGACTCTCGACATTTATGGCACCCCTGCCTGCATGCAGGGTACCCTCACAGCTTCCGGAGATGACTCAGACTACTCTGGTGCATGAGTGCTTCGGCGTCCACACATTGCGACTTCGTGCGAATGATATGCGATCTCGGGTTCAAATAAACTCGCTGAAGTGTGCGTCATCGTTCCCATAACTCTCCTTTGCTCATTTATCACGGCGGCAGGCTGTCATCACGTCTGCTCTTGCTCTTATCTGTCCCATCCTCACCCACTCCGCAATGCGAGTGTTGCCAGCACCATGACGTTGATAGGTAACGCTTACCCTCAAAGTGCGTGGAGACGCACACACGCACGACCAGCTGAGCAGCGGTGTTTCCTCTGCCTGACCTTCTCGCACGCACGCGGACACTGCTGGGGGCGCCAGTTCCCACGGCCGACAGATGGGTGACGGTCGGCCGCGGACCTTTTATGACACGTCATCAGTGCCGGTCGCCCACCGGGGTGTTTGGATTCGCAGGGACTTCCGCAGACTGTAGAAGGTTCCCATCGAATGTGAGGCTGTTCTCACCGACGTGGTCTCAGCATTCTCACCGCCATTGTCTCACTTCAGTGCGAGTCGCTGGGTGTGAGAGGTGAGAGGCCTCCCACCGCGACGCATCCCGGCTCGCACTCACATTCCGCCCGCCCCCGGGTCTTCGACTCACACCAAGGCTCACACTGATGAGCCGGGAGACCGCGGACTGGTCCATTGTCCTCCCAGTCCGTGCGGGGCCATTGTGGTCGTACCCATCACCGCCCTTGTCCATTGACACTGTTCCAGCTCAGGTACTTGGTATGGTTTAGCTCGTTTTGCGCGCGACTGAACTTATTTTCCGTGGACTTTTTTGACATTCACCTCTTATACATATTCCATCTCTCCAAGAAATCATCATTTACATTGCAAAATAGACTCATGTGTTACTTTTTGTATGGTATTTGCTTTGTGAGAGTGGAGGCTCTTAGCCATCGTGGCGTCTTCACGCAACAACCCTCTGCATGACTGTAAGCCCTCTTCACTAATATTCTCCCCCTTCTCTCACGTTTCCCATTCTCACCCATCCAATCTGTGAGCTCTCATCATTTGGCCTCATAACGCCTAATGAATGCTACCATCTCTTCTGCACCAACGCGCAGCGCCGGCTGGTGACACGTGACGACCTCTCGCCCTTTCTCTTCCCGTTACAGCCCTCTCTCTCTCTCTCTCTCTCTCTCTCTCTCTCTCTCTCTCTCTCTCTCTCTCTCTCTCTCTCTCTCTCTCTCTCTCTCTCTCTCTCTCTCTCTCTCCGCGCCCGCTTTGCCTCGCTGCTAACCTCTGTCAGTGAAAGGATGTCCGATCGACGAGCTGGTCCCGACACCGCCCCGGCGCTCGCCTCAGGGCAAAAACACCGACAGTCGCGGTCAGGCCGCCCAGATCACGTGACGTTCGTGCGGTGCTGTACCGAATCACGCGGGCGGGTCACGTGACACACACTGTGACCGCCGTGTGTCACGTGACATGGATACGCTGTCATGGTGATAGTCTGTGGGCGGCTAGAGCGACATCGATCGCCACAGCTGCGTGGGTCGTGTTTTAGTGTGTCTGCTGTTCCACCTACGCCGCCCTTCGCGGGAACCACCTCTTCACCGCCCGCGCCGCCACTGCGCCGCCGCCCACAACCAAATCGCTGTGCTGTGGTAGAGTCACGTGACATCTGCCTCAGAGCACGTGACTGACCCAGGTGACACAATTGGCTGCGACACAAACAGTAGCTGACGGTGCCGACGCCGAGCCAAGCAGACTCAGAGCTACAGCTTGACCTGCAATGGGTTGTCATGGGGCGTCGGTTGGTCGTTCATAGGTTGACCTGTTGAATGTTGATAGAGTAGAGAGACCAACAACTGATTTTGAAAAGACGGGTGTGGAGAATTCAGACTAACCGAATGACTTGACTGCTTGGGTAGTGAGCTTGACGAAGGTCACAGCCACAGGTCGAATAACATGGGGCTTTTCGGATAAAAACAGCGCGAATTTAAAAAGGGAGTTTCATCACTTTCATACGATATAGATCCCTGCCTGGTATAATGAGACACTGATTAAAAACACTCCAACCATGCTACCCTGCTATTATATGCAAATCGCAATAAAAACTCTGGGAAAGAATCTTTCCGAAATACTGATAAAAGGATAGGCGCAAAGGCGCGTTCTGGCGTTGGTACGATGGAGCCTCGGTGGATCTGCGCGGTGTGGGACCGGGTGGGCGGGTCGTCACGGGCGCGGGCGTGAGTCCGTGGGCGCGGCCGAGTCACGCTTCACTCTCCCTGTAGCGGACCCGACCGAGCGCCGGTCAGTGTCTGTTCGAAACGCCAAGGCCGCCACTGGCCTCGGGTAGACTCAACCTCCAACGTTGAGTCTACCCACGGCGCAGCAGCCATCGATGGCAGACCAACTCACGAGTGACACTCGAGCCTGAGCGTCAACAGCGCATAACAGGCATCTGGGCAAATATTTACCGCGTCTCCAATCGCAGCCGAAGCACGCCCGAATCAATACCGGGCGACGCCGGCTCTTGTGAAGTTCAGGGTCGGTAGAGGGCAGGCGCTTGACCGATTTAAAAGGCTTCTTTGTTAGGAGGAGTTGAAGTCAAATAAAATTAATGATAAGTGATAGAAACCACATTGATTCGACAACCCTTGATCAATCATGGAGCGAAAAGATTATAATTTATATGTATCATGCCCCCACCTTCACCTTAGGGACATTTTCTTGCGTCGTCTATATCCTCCCACCACCTTTTGGCCTCATCTAGTCTCATCCCTCACCCCTGCGGTACCTCCTCCGCTCAGGGTCAGACCAATTCCCCTGCGTATCGACCACGCATCGTACCGGGGTGGTCCGTCCGACCTGGTACGGTCCACAGTCCAGTCACAACTGACCTGCAGGAGGTAGTCGTGGGTGACGTAGATACCAGCCGGCGCTGGAGCATTCCTACCTGTTGCTGGTAGTAGGATTGGTGAGGCGAAGCCGCTTTCAGCCTTGGAGCGCTACCCAAGGTCGGCCCGCTCTTGGTAACTGGTTCGTGCGGAAATTAAATCGTGCTGGTATTCCAGCGATCTTATCACATCATAACCAACCTCAACGAGATTTGATTATCTACCAAGAACGTGACAGTTTCCCAGTATCGTCGCCTTTCAAGTTCAACCGATGTCCTCTTCACACATTTTCATATGACCTGGAAGTTGGAACCTGGCTTCAGTCACTCTACTCCCCTTAACCTCCGCACGAGCAGACCGTCCCGGTAAGCGGCGTGCGGAGAACAATCCGACATCGATCTGTCTCCATAGGAACGGTTTGTGTACGCGTGCCGTGGTCTGGTCGTCCTAGACCGGATCTGGCGAGCCCGCACTGCCACAGTGTGTCGCGGAGAACGGGAGCGGGAGCAGTGAACAGTGTCTCCAGGTCAGGTGTGGCGCAGTGGTAGTGATTGGTGATGGTGTGGTGAACTGTTCGGAAGGATTTGTTGGTAAGCTCAGCGCGCCGATTGCCTGAATAGCTGAGGCCATAGACAGGCGTATTACCTGTATGTTGTCTTATCGTGGGAAAATCAATTGAAGCATATTCCTCGGGAGCTGTTATGTGAATATGAAACAGCAGTTTCAGTGAAACGTGGCCTTATTTCGTTTTTTTTTTGTCGGAGTTGAGTGTTCGACATCAACTCCGATCGACCTGTTTCTTCTGCTCGGAACCCGACCGCATGCAGTGTTTGCCCTCTCTAACCCAAAGCTAGTCAATGACCACTCTCACCCTGGAACATCGTCGGTCCTTCACCACCTCTGACCGGACCTCTCCCTCTCCGCAGGATGACCTCTCAAACGGAACAGCTGGCCTGCTCGCCAGAGATGACCGCCGCTCAGAAGAAACTCCTCCAACTGAACAACAACCGGAACCAGGTCAGTCCCAAGTACCGTCCGGCGTGCTCATACCGTGCGACATTACCCACACGCGCCGCGGCCGCTCGCCGCACCGCCCGCGACATTCCCCACGCACAATAGCGGTATTCTGCCGGTCGGGGCGCGTCCAATGGGCGCATTTAGTGGCCGTGTTTCCTCTGGGGCGGTGTCCATTGTCGAGGGAATACTCGGCGAGCCGCGGGGAGCCGGGGAGGTAATGTGCATCCCCGGCGCGTTACGCACACCGAGCGGTCGTCACACACCAAGGAGAGTGCCCGGGGCGTCGAGGGTGGTGCCCGGGGCGCGCCGAGGGCGTCTAGGCCGTACAGAAAGTCGCGACGCCCGCTGCTGCCAGCCACAATGCGCTAATGTGGTGGGATGAACGGTGAATTGCCCCATGTTCTGTAACGTCAACACTAATGGAATATTTACTTCAACTAAAGAGTATAATTTTCATTTACTTATTTTGTATTCATCTACGTATAACTTGATAAGATACAATTTAGTAGTGACTGATTAGCCTACATAGTAAACGACGAATTGTAAAATATTCATATCGCTTTGAATATAAACTGTTGAGAACATCCCACCCATTTCGTTTACTTATTTTGGCACAGGCCATAAGGCCACAAAGCAAACAAACCATCAGTCACTTTCAATCTGAGTAGATGTTTAAATTCCTGCTTGTCACAACAAATAAACATATATCCATAACATTATCACTTCTCCACATTTGTCACATATTTCCTCGATTTCAATATAAGCTGCATCCATTTTGGCCAAATGTCATGTGCTGGGGCCGCAAAAGACTGTTGAATTTAGACTCCTGACGCAGTGAGCGGACCCGACTGAAATGTATAGCCTTGAACTTTTGCCGCTCCCGTCATTTGTACAAAATCTGTCCTGGCCACCGCGCCTGCCTGTGGTGGGTCTTTGATCTCGACAACCTGACGCGCCCTTGATTTAAAACACCTGTTTATGACACGGCCACCCCCACTGACACCAACGGGCTGGCATCATGCGAGTGACTTTAGAACGATACGAGCGTAAGTCACGTCTTGTGCCTGGCAACATATGCGCAACACGATCGGGCGTGATAACCTCGGATTTAAAAGTGGTCAAAACACCCTGTTACATTCATAGCTCGAAGTTTTTTTATAGCTCGAATAGAGCATCCGCCTTTGAGATTCGATTTATTCGTCTGTTGCGTTACGCATTAGGCAGCAGGTGACCTGATTTTCCGAGCCAGGCCCCAGCCTCACGGCGTGTTTGAACATTACATGTAGCGAGGGCGGGCGACTTGTTTTCCCATCCTGCTCTCACGGGATATCCGCTCCGGCCAGACCGGGTTCTGGGTCAAGGCACACGGGCCTGTGCAAACTCTCTCAGAGCTAGCCGCACTTCACATGGCGGGTTTGCCATCTCTTCAAGACGTCATCCTGAGGCTCAGATTCATGCATTTAATGACGCTCATGTTCTCTTCACCTTTCTCTACTGAGACAAAAAGACAAAGGCGACCCTTGTCCAACCCTTGCCCACCTTTATTTCCGTCATGTAATCAAACAGTCGACAATATCACGACATCAGTGTCGGTCGGCTACTTCATGACGTCACCTAAAACACATGTGTCGGCAAGGCATTCGAAATGTTTGTCGCTGGTGCCGCTAATAACGGTAAATTCCTTTGTTTGATCACCTTTCCGGGTGTGTCCAACTGTTTGCTCCACGATTTCCTTGTTTACGTCACGTCATTTACATTCTTGCATTCAGCACGACACCATTTGTCCATCCAATTACCTCAGATAGGTACAAGAGCACGGAGTAATGCAAATGACCTATGGAAAAGGATGTGCCGTCGAAATGTTGAAGAAAAAAAAACGTTTAATACAAAATCCATTTGTAATGCACCTTCACTTGCTTCAATATCTTCGGTAAATGTCAAACAAACTCGCTACACGAAATCATACAGTATACACCATTCCTCGAAAGAACCCTCTCGCCGACCGTGGTTAACTTTTGAAGGACCTGCCAAGAGCCAACTTACAACTCGTCTGCCGTCTGGCGCGATGAGCGATCAATGATTCACTGGCCCAAGGCGGCCGCTGTGACCTTCCCCGTCGCGTCGCCGCCTCCCCATGGGTCACCCCGGTGCCGCCCACCTTGCCACTCGTGCGTTGGTGGGCTCCTGTCGTCTAGAGCTCTATCACGCCAACCCCAGACGAGCCACCTTTCCAAATGTCGCACCTGCCCAACCGGTTTGAGACAGTGCATCATCCGCGGTGGACTGCGGATTTCTCGAGTGAGTCGTCCAGCCCGGTTGGACGGGCTTTGTTGATTGATGCGAGGGGGCGCGGGAGAGGGTGGTTTGCAGGCGTGGATTTGAAAGGCTGGACGGGAGGTAATGTTATTGCATGACTTTAATGGAGTTTGTTGCGGAAGTCAGCGTAGGTCAGCTTTAGAGAACTTCGGCAGTTTGTGGAATGGGCTGTTTGAAATGGGCGTGCTCCGTCTTGTGGGACCCAAATCTCATAGTCATCAGTCTCCCTGTGCCATGCGCTGATTGCAGAGATTTCAACAACTTTGTCTTGTGGCCTCTCCACATTAGTTAGCAGTGTCCTGATGTGCATTTGGTCTGAAGTTCTGAACAGTGAACACATTAGCAGCTCTGTTGCCCAGGGTTGCGCAGAAAGCATACATCTGATCTCTCCTTCTCCAGTGCCACCCTGTGACATGACCTTTGACCTCTGACCCCACAGGAGGACAGTGCCATGTCGTCGTCGTGCAGTGAGCTGGAGCCCTGTCCGCCGGCTGAGATGAGCATCACGGAGCGGCTAATCCACTCTCAGCCCGTGTGGTTCCTGCCCGGCATCCACCGGGCAGGTGCCGAGCATCTGCTGCAGGGAAAACCGCCCGGGGTACGTACTGAACAGACTAGCGTGGCTGCAGGGTGAATTACTGCATCTTTTGTGGAAGAAAGTTCCCGTGGTCAGTGGTGTGTGTCTCGCGGATGGTTAAGTGTCTGTGTGTGCTGATAGCATATTTCTTTGGCCAACAGCATGAGGGCACAAAGCATACATGCAGCGACCACGGCAACACTACAACATCCCTAGAACAGACAATCGTGAGGACCACTTTTGGTTATCATAGTGCAGCCCACTTTCTATATTTAGATTGTTTTCTGAGGAATTTTCGCGTGCCTCATAAATCAATCATCTCGCTTGCAAGAATGTTACTGCTTCCGTCGCAGTACTGATAAGAAAGGCCAAAGATGCTTCATTACTGTAATGGGCAGCAGCTGGTGCACACGTGCCGCTTTTTCGTCCCATCCGCTCTCCGATATCGGTCTCAACAACTCTCAATCACTCGCCGTGAGGCCTCTGAATGTTGTGCACGTGCAACGTCGTTTGCATGCAACTGCTTTTACCGATGACCAGTCGACAAATGATGGTTGTTTTTGCGAGCTGGAATGGCAACAGCCACCCATCAACGTTATAACGCCGTCATGCTAAAGAGGTCCCGCCCAAAGCATCAAATCAAGGCCCTCCCATTTCCAATCCAAGTACCCCTTCTCCCCTCTCCCTCTGCTCTGTCGGTGTTTCAATCTCCATCCTTCTAACTCTGCAATTCTCTCTTCAGTACATTTGCAACTTCTCTCTTTTTCATTCCAGTTCATTTCCCTTTTACACTATCTCTTTTCCCTTCTCTGCTTCCCTTCCCTCCTACTTTCTGAGACCGAGTTTCTAACCTTCTTCAGCTCTAATTCTTCCCTTCTTCAGATGCTGTATCCATGCATAACTCGACGACGTATGTGAGCAATGCCAGCCACGTATCTGCGATATAAAAATATCGCCTGCAGTGTCGATTCTCTCTTATCCCTCATCGCTCTTTCCATGCCTCTCCCTCTCTCCCACTCTCACGCGTCACCTCATTCTAACAGACCCGGCCGCGAATAAATCCTCTAATTAGCGCTCACCGCCACCTCATTATCACCGACAGCCCGGTGCGGCGAAGAGTCCGACCCCCTCATCCCGAACCAAATGATCCCCCGGCCCCCTCCGTGGTCGTTTTTGTCTCGTCTCTGGCCCAGATCATCGCCCGAGGCCGCTTACGACACAGACGGTTTCGTTTCGTGGTCGGACAGTTTGTCAACAGGCAGACGTTCTTATGGTTCTTCTCGATAAAATCGGAGGAGGGTATAGCGTTTGACGACGGCTGCGGAGGTCACATGTCTAGCACAAAAAGGGACATCGTATGCATCGCATTCATGGGGAGTGCTTGGCATAATGAATGCAAAGAATACGTAATACGCCGTCAATATATATTTAGCCATCCAGTTCCCTTCCTACTAGGCAATAGCTTAGTATTGCGTTAATCACAAATGCACATTATCCTAACGACGCACTGCCATGGATAAGGGACGATCGTTAGTTCCTTGAACATTTACTCTACAAATTACAATTTCTCAATCCTTTGTTATGCACTCCGATGTGCGGACAAGTAACAACGCAAAAATAGTCGCATTAGCGCCACTTACATGGAGCCCAGTGTGTAATCCTCATAGCACAGCCAGCCACTCTCGCACTATCAGTCACCGCATGATGCAAGAGGATAAGCTCAGTCTATCGTCTGTATGGCGTTGTCACAAGATAACACACCGTTCCTCGACTATGTGACGTCACATTGCACATATGACGTCACACTTTTCAGCTGAGATGACGTAGCGCGATATCATCGTCTTCCCATTTAGGCGCTGACCGGGAGCCACCGCGCCGTCAAGTGCCTATCGTGCCTGCATCGGCTCTGCACCGCGGTGCTTCAACCGTGGTTCCGCTCAGGGTACTGAGTCACCGGGCTACCGTCCCTTCCTGTCCAGTCACCTGGGCCCTGATCGTGCCGCTCTTCAAGGAAGACTGAGCCCCTCCGGTGTGCAGGGCCGCGGTAGAGACAGCCGCGGACGGTGCACAAAACCGCCCGTCATGCTACGCCCCCTTGCTGTCCTGTTGTCCGACATATCAGCCGGTTCCGGACAGACTCGATGACAGTCACGCAGGATTTCCTCCTAATCAGACGCAGCGAAGAGGGGTTGGTCGTTAGATTGCGATGATGGGTGACGCCTATGCAGTAAAATTGGTGATTTAACTTCGACTGACCTTCGATTGAGCTTCGATTGAGCCTTCCAGTAATTATTTGCCACGCTTGCAGCCGTGTCCACTGTCCAGTGTTCACTCCATATAACATAAAAGTTAGACTGATTTAGATTGGGTGATATTAGAAACGAGTGCAGCTTCTGGCTATTTAATTGTCACGCCCATGAGTAGTTTTTAACACAACTGTGACGACATAGTAAGTGAGCTGATTAAGCCTAATGACATGATGCGGTCTCGGTAAAACAGACTGGGCTTATCTGGACTGGCGCCTGAGTATGTACGTGTTACGACGCATGTTTTCCGGGAATATGGATGATACGGTCAGCAATGACCCAGGAATAATAGCGTTTTGCTGTCACAGGATATAGTAAATTAAGGTTAATCAGCTGGGGATTTCTGGCAAGCACAAAGCGATAAGGGTTGATTTGGCAGCGTAAAAGTGAACACTTGTGACTTATATCAATTATCACTAGGACAATCTCCTTTTCACGTATTTCAAACAAAAGCAGCCATTAACTAGCCCAGCCTACATAAATCCTCTAAACATTTGCTTCATTGCAGTGTTTAATACGCAAAGCGTTCCTAGAAGGAAGAGCATGAGTTCGGACCTGTCGGCATCCACCGCCCTCTCATACCGGGCTCTCAATTTCGATCCAGTTTCCTCGTCGTGTCGTGACCGAGCACCGTGAGAGCTCGTGACTGCCTTTACCGCTCCGCCACGTCCCTGCACGTCCAAGTCCGACGTCACGTTCGGTCACGTCCCACCCGCCTAGCATGCCTGCTGACGGAAGTGGCCGCCACAAGGCGGACGTTTTTCTGACCGGCCGAGTCTGCCGCGCGGTTTTGTGCCGGCCGATCCACCGCCAATGGACTTCCCTTGCCGACTTCCCATGCGACGGCTGTGATACGTTGAAAGTCGGTCTTGGGAGGCGGCAAACTTGGCGTCAAATGGCGTGAATTGTCAGCGCGTGGGACTGCGTGGGACGCGACATGACAGCTCTAAAACCCGCCCCGGGCTGTTTCTCACGGTATTTAGGGAATCTGGCCATTAGTGGTGTGATCTAAACGCGATCGGATCCCAAATAGTCGACTTGTATTACGCCTATTATATCGCACATACCAATACTAATAGCATCAGCATATTCGTGTAGGCAATTGGAAGGTGGCTGCACTTGGGTTCTATATTTGCTCGATAGGGACTGACTTCTGTAGGCGTATATGGTATCGGTTCTTATATACGCATGTTAACACTTGAAATGTGTCGCCTGTGTCTGACAATGAAGGAGTTTTCTAAATAAGGTAACAGGAAAGTCTCCTACACTTTGAAGTTTGAACTATTGATATCAATTATTAGAATGACGTAACTTATCAGGCTTGCCCTAACCGTTTGCTTCCCTGAACGGACTCGACGTCAAAGCGATAAGATACCTGCGAGTCTAGCAGGCAAAAATCAGACGATACATTTGAATCTATTTTCTACCAACGCATTTCAAGCTAATCCAAGCGGAAAGCCATTCTACATATTGACTACCTACTACATGATTAATGATCATATCAATGATTATGCATCTAACCGACGTTTAACGCGTTATTAGAATATGTGCTTGTCGTCGTCCACACTCAAAGCCTATGTGACTTGGTGATACATCCCTAAATTGCCCAGCCTACTGATGCTCTTCCATCTCCTTCCAGACGTTCATTGTCCGCGAGTCGAGTAACACAGCCTCGATGGCGCTGTCGGTGCGCCTGCCGGCTGGCAAGGGGCCGCACGTGGAGCACTTCCTCATCGAGAAACAGGACGGCAAGCTGAGCCTCGAGTCGTCCGACAACCGCTTCAGTGACATCTGCAGCCTGGTGGCCTGCTACAGCTCCCGATGGTAGGTCCATGGGGAAGGGATAGTGGGAGACCAGGGTGGAAGGTCGAAGAAAAATGGCAGAGGGGGAGAAAAGGAGTTGGAGAAGGGGGTGATGAACAAGGTGACAATAGCAAGTGGGTAGAGAATAGCGAGGGGACATAATCAGAAGCGCTGGGGTGCGAACCGAGATGTTTTTCAGACACCTGAGTGGTTCGAGGGGAGTCTGAAGGGTGCTTGGGGCGGTTTGGGGAGCGGGATTCAACCACTTAGCAGCGAAGGGAACGGGGGAAGAAGGGCCTTCTTTCCAGATCCCTGCATGGCTGACGACGCTGAAGAGTCTGACGGCGTCAAATCAATTGCGATTGTTTGGTGAAGGGCGCATCTGAGGGTGGGGAATGAGACTGGGGTGTCAGGTCCAGCCGCTGCGGTTTGCCGATGGGTGACAGACCACTGAGCTCTGGGAAGGAGTGGGCGCTGACAAACGACAGCGTCTATACAGGGTGGCGCCGATAAATGAAGACAATATGTGCTCCACACAAAACATCAATTTTTTTGGCAAAAGTCAGTACTTTGGATGAAAGTTTGGAACTGGGGTGACTGATGGCGACCTGTCGAGCACACTTCACTCGATGAATCCCCCTCCGCGTCGATGACGGCCTCGATGCGCGGCCTGAACCGGGCGTTGGCCTTGGTCAGCATGGTCTTGTCCATCTTGACCATCATCTGCTTGATGGCTGACTTCAGAGAGTCAATATTGTTAAGTGGGTGTTTGTTAGTGTCCCTCTCGACTACGCCCCAGACGTTTTAGTCGAGCGGGTTCAGGTCCGGGGATTTTGGCGGCCAGAACTCGGGCGTGATGTGGCTGTGCAGGTTGGCGCTCATCCACTCCTGCGTCACCCTGGCCTTGTGGGCGGTTACAGAGTCTTGTTGGAACACATAGGGCCTTCCTCAGCCACTCGGTCGATCCAGGGCTTCACGACGTCACCGTCATCGACGGTGACGTCGACGTCGGGTCATCGTCGACGATGTTCTCGACTTTGGCAATGAAATCGTCGTCTCTGACGGCATCAGATCGTCGGGGATGTTTCTTCCGCTTTGCCACAGACGGGACGTCGCCCACAGACTCATCCAAGCTCCGCTTGACTTTATAATCATGGCTTCTGTCGACCTTGAGGAAGTTGGCGACCTCGGATGCCTAGCTGCCGGCGTGAAGCGCCACAATGACCGCGTGCCTTTTCATTTCTTCCGTTATTATCTTTAGCTGCAACGTTCCCTTTTGCTATGGACAACAATTTACATAAAGCATGGAACATGAATGCAAAAAAAATTATTGCTCTTCACAAAACAGTTTCCTCGTAACACAGGTTTGACATTTGTGGTTATTTACCGGCGCCACCCTGTACAAACCGCCCGCTGATGACGGGACGGGGGCGGCTTCGGACGCCAACTGGGGAAATTTAATTAGCCGGCGTAATGACTCGGAAGCCAGAGGAGAGAGGACGGACAAATTAATGATGGCTGCGAGATACCGCCTATCTCCCGCACCGCGGGGTTTGATTAACAAACCCACCCCCAGCGAGGGTTATAAAGTACTGCGAAATGCATTAGCGTATTTGATAAACGGTTGGATTTATGACAATTCCTGAATTAAATTTAGCCAGAATGGATACGAGACGGACTACGTATGGTAGAGAAGAGTAAACAAATATCATTTAAGATGCCCATTGTATTGACTTTTGATGCATGGCAAGTTCACTGTGTTGCTACGGCGATTGCAGCGCTGACTAGAATTTGAGCAGCACGCCGTGTCACTGTGCTGAAATATGACTCGCTGAGACACCAGCGCGCCCTGATACTCTGACTGGCATGAGGGGTCCCGGCTATTTTATTCGTCCCGATAACATTATCTTCCGGCTGTAAATCTTACCCGGGCTTGTCTCCGTGGCCCAGCGCCGTTTTCCGTCAAGCTGATGCATGCCTACTGTCTTTAGGTCTTCTGGCGTCAATCGCGTGGATAAACGTTATACCAGTTACCGCAATATGTAGATTGTATGTAGACGTCACATGATCCCTTTGGCGACATGAGTTGTGCCTTAGACGTGTCGCCGGGATGTCGTCAACTATTTGTGTGGAAATCCAGACTAGCGTCAGATACAATGCGAAACACACAAAGCAGAGCTCAGTGGCGACGGCGGAGACGCGTAGGGTGCGCGATCGGCATACTAATCTGGCATCTCGACGGTCGTCCGTGTTCCGTTTGAAATGGGACGAGCCGGCCAGGCGGGCCAGAGGGACTGAGTGGATTGAAGTGAGGGTGCCGCGAGCAGCGGTGTGTGGGGTGCTCGCTCTTTTACAGCGGCCTCTCCGGCACGAACAAAGAAATCAGGATTATCGCACGTACCAAGGTGCAAAGTTTAGTATCCCGGAGAGCGGAGACGGGAAAAGTTTGGTTTGGTAATCGTTGGAAATGGATCCGTTGCGCTCGTAGATGCCGGGGCATGTCGAAAATAAGCCGAGATGGGGGGAGATGATGCCACCCCATCCATCGATAAAAGATCCGTCTGTGTCAGGTTGTTTACCAACACGGGCTTCAACTTACGCCTCTCTAAAGCATCGCGCCCATTACACCGGTCTAACGCGCTGCACCGTACCGTCGAGACGAGACAGGCCCAAATGGCGTCATCACTTGTCTTCACCACGCGTCAGACACTCCTATTACATGTCGCACCTCGTGTCGACGCCTAAACAGCGCGTACAAATGTGTAACGTTTTTCACACCACATCCTTTGGTCCCACCACGACATTGATACAACGTTTTTCAGTCCGAAAAAGCTGCCGACATGGGCTGCACAAAAGACCTGATGTCTCGTGCCGGCACCGGTCGTCTGTCTCGCCGCAGAGCGATGGGCGATGCTCTGAGAGCGGCACTCGGTGCTCTCTGGGTCCCGTCGCACCGCGCGGGTGACGGATGGGGTGCTGAGTCGACCCCGTCGGCCCGCGGCGGCGCCCCGCCGGTGACGAAATGCCTCCAAAATCGAATCGCGCCTCCATCGCGACGGGAAGAGATGATTCAGCGAAACATGGCGGCGGCTGCCAGAGGGCGCCGAAACAATCATAGGATCGCCGCTCTTTGTGAGCGTCTGTTTTCGTTACCGTGACGATGTTGGTTTTGGCGGGGAGACGTGTGACAGTTGGAACGCACGGAGCACGCCCTAGCGCCCGGATCGAGTCTCGGGGACACACACATTTTACATAGAAGGTGCCTTCTTTGTTTGAAAGTACGAGGACTAGGCTGCCTGCCTTCGTATTGCTGATTCATCTACATCTTCTCTTGCTGAATTGTATTTTCTAGATAAACAATTGGTATTGCCGGTAGCAATACTTACCGAAGCTTTAAACGCTTATTTCGTCGAGATCAACGTGCTCAAATTGCGTGAGGCGTGTTACCTTGTCAGACCTGAGCAAACAAAAAAAAACTGAATGCCTCCCTATGGTTCAATGACTGCTCTCGGTCGGCATCCAACAACAGCGCCGATCGAAGTTCGGCGGCCCACCCCTGGTCCCGTGGCGGCATTTCATCCTCATCATTGCCCGGAGATGAGAGCCCCGTGGGAACCCAGAGGTGGCGAAATTGTCGGCACATCACACAGTAAACGCATTAGAGGCCGGGGCAACAGCCACTTACTGCGGCTAACTAAGCCAATCATGGCGCGAGACTGCAGGAGACGTCTAAAGAAGAGCACCACGAGATTATCCATCCGGAAAGTTGGCAGTAGTAAGTTTCGAACGACTGCTCCGGACGCAATTATCCCTTGTTAAAAGAGTATATTCGCTCGCTTCTGCCTTTTTACCATGGCTCCACCCACTCTCCAGCGAATATTTTCATGCTGATCCCCTCTGGACTTTTCTTCGGAGGTCAACGTTTTCTGGTTTGTCCTGAACTGTTTGTTGGAGGCCGTGTAACTAAGGCGTCGAAAGGGGCGATTCGAGTGCCAAATGAACCGGTTCTGGTGCGACTCTCGCACTGAAACGACCTCTGTCGCAGGATATGAAGTGAAAACAGTCGCTGTATTGTTTTGTTTTGGTGGAGAGGTCCCTTGAATTACATGTTGTCGCACTTGCCTGGTCGACTGCAACTATTCCACAGCACCAGTGCAGTTTGAACTCAATTTTTTAGCAATTCATGCTCGGGCTGAGGCAAAGCCTAAGCTTTTGAAGACACTCTAAGTCTCGCTATTTTTTGTGTTCAAAACAACGGCGCCGCCCATTTTTCTCTCTTTTTGTCTCCTCAGCCGTCATTTTGCCACGTTCCCACCACATGCTGTCTCCCTCTGGTGTGGCGTGTGTCGATAACCTGCTTATGAGGTATTCATTGACATAACAACCCTGAGAGACCCGAGTCGCTCAGAGGCGCTACATGCAACAGATCGCATCACGTATGACATTTCCCGGACGATCCCGCGGGTCCCTGCCGGCCGACGCACACTCGTCGCTCTGCAGACGCTCGGCAGAGTCCCTCAGGGTACAGGAACTGACGTTGCCCGGAGGACCTCATTACCGCCACGGCTCGTGTCCGTGACATGTGCGTCGTCTTTGAGCGGATGTTTTGGTTTCCGGCGTCACGGGCACGCGGTGCGTGCGTGAAATGCGCTGCCGCTGGCACGTGCGGAGCCGTTTCCTGTCCTGATGACGAAAAGGTCGCGGAGTTCACCAAGCGCTCTTTTCAATGAAAGACCGCATTAACCCTAGAACGCCTAGGGGGGGGGGGGTTGTATCAACCCCCCCCCCTGAGGTTTTTTCGAAGTGCACGCTAAACGGCTTGTCGTAGCGGGCTGAAATTTTCAATACCCTCTGGGGCAACCTTTGCGCATCTTTTGCCGAAAAAAAATTGATCGGGTCATGTCAGGTCACGGAGTTATGACGTCATAAGAGGTACAGCCTCCGGCCGGATTTTCACAAACTGAGTGCCAACGCCCGAGGTTTCCTGCCGGTGGTACGGACATCGGTTGATGGATCGTGAT